GGCCCCCCCAAAAGGAGGTCGAGCCCCCAGGAGGCTTGCTTTTTTAGGGGCGCCCCCCGGAGGGGCCAAACCCCCCAACGCCTAGAGCAAGGGCGGAAGGGGGAAGGCGCCCGGCCCAGGCAAGGACTTCGCCCCCCCCCCTGAATTTTCCGTTTCCAATTTGGAGGGGGGCGCCCCCCATCGCGCACGGGCGCCGGGCCCCCCCCCCCCGCTGCACACACACACACACACACACCGCTCACCAAAAGCGCACTGGGCCTTGCGCTTTTCATGCCGTGGGGCTGCTGTCGTCTAGACGTGGAGTCGCGAGGGACTAGCCCGGCCCTTGCCCCACCACCTCGCGTGTGTGGAGAAGCTTACCTGACCTTTACCTTGCCTGCCTTAGGCGGAGTGCACGCAGCGCGGCGGGCTCTGCGCCGTCGGCCTCCTCGAGGTGTGAGGAGACGCCGTTCACACTTCATGCTGTGTGAGCAGGCGGGCTCTGCGCCGTCGCCCTCCTCGACGGCGGCCCCGACAACGGGAACAAGGAGGCGCAGCTGGCGGTGCTGGCCAAGCTGCGCAGGCGGGGCGCGGGCGGGCCGCTCTCGTACTCGTGGCTCGATGCGACGTGCCACACCGACTTTGTGGCCGCGTTTGGGCTCGGCGAGTCGAGAGACCCGCAGAATCTCGGGTAATCTCGGGTAATCTCGGCTAATCTCGGCGAGACGAGAGACCCTCAGAATCTCGGGTAATCTCGGGTAATCTCGGGTAATCTCGGCGACACGAGAGACCCGCCGGCAGCGCTCCCTTTGCCATCACCGAGAGTGAAGCTGGGTCTTCCCCATGAACCGACTCAGGCGAGACCGACTTGCCGACCATGCTCGTGCTCTCGCCGGGCAAGGCGCGCTGGGCTCGCTCCGTCGGCGCCTTCTGCCGCACCACCCACGGGACCTGAGCCCACACCGGGTTCGAGACTCGAGAGGGTGTCGTACTAGGCGCGTTCGACGCCGAGACGCTCGGCGCCTTTGGCAACGGCGTGGCGGCGGGCCGGCGCGCGACGGAGAGCATCGATGCGGTGCCGGCGCTGCAAGAGGTCGATTGCGCGTCGGTGGCGCGGGGTGCGGACGCAGTGGCGGAGGACGATGCCCTCGGCGACGAGATCATGGCGGAGATCCTCGAGGAGGCGCGGGGAGATCGGGAGAGAAGGGGGGGGGGGGGGGGGCCGGGGGGCGGGAACCGGGAAACAGGGAGGTCCAGGAGGCCCCCGAGGGGGCAAAAGGCAAGGGAGGCTCCTTTTCCGTCGAGTACTCAGGGGGGGCTTCTTCAACGGTTAAAACCGGAGGGAGCCAAAGGCCAGGGAGGCGGAAGCGGCCCCCCCGGCGGCGGTTTCTTGGGGGGGCGGGGGGAAGGACAAGGGGGGAGTGGCCAAAGACAAAATTTCTGAACTCCCCCGGATGGAGGCGGAACTGGACCATTGTAATGGGGCGAGGGCTCCCGAGCCTGCCCCGAGTGTACCCAAAAAGGGCCCGCGGTTTAGGC